TTTTTCTTAATTAATTCTAGACATTTAAAAGTTTATGGGTGGGTTTACAGATAGTGAATTAAATCAAAATTAAGGTAATCAAAATCCTGAAATCTGATTGGTTGTTCATCAAAAGTCAACCAATCACGTAACAAATTAAATTTAATTGCAACCAAATATTTAATTCGACTTCCACATACAGGGTGCGCCAGAACTCGCGCCCCAGAGAAAATTTTCAAGTAAGGTAAGATACCAGGAACATGAAAAGAATGTTTAAAAAATTCTATCTGTCAAAAAATTTTGACATTTATTTTTTTGACATTTGACATGTTTAGGTTAAAAGTACCCTAACTATTTTGGCTGTTGGTTCTTGCGAAGGATGGTAGACGTAAAGGCACAGATTAGTTGCTTGCGAGCTAATCTGTGGTAAAGGATTGCTCAGGCTCACGAATCTGTCAGCCGGCGTCACGTGGTCCATAGACATGCTGTGACGTCACAACTGGTCTTTAATCGCGTCAAATACATGGGAGTTAATAGGAGCAAATACCAAATAATGCAAATAAAAGTGAATTATGACATTAATTTGTTAAAATCGCTTTTGAATTTATAATGAAATTATTGTAGTTATAATTTGAGGTAATACAAAATAGAATTTTCTGTTTATTTGTGTCCAAAAATTGAGTAAATCTGTTTTCTAATCGGGGTAATCAGACGCAATAATTCCAATAATTCATTGTTCTCCATTTTAATGATATATAAGACATTAAGAATAGGAACAAATTTTTTACTTTTTATATTGACGAGTATTCTTTACGTTTTAAAATGCTCAAACAAAAATGATTTAGGTAATAAATAAATTGCCATTGAAATTTTTTGGTCACAAAACTCGTGAAAATATCAATAATATTCCTAGGTATACATACAAAATAGAAACGGGTTTTATTTTTGACAATTTTATATGCAATAAATTTTGTTGATAAATAATAATACAAAATTTAATAATGGATAATAGGTAAAAAAATGTAAAACAAAATAAACCATTTTTATAATAACTTTAAGACTTTAAAGAAGAAAGAAATGAGCAAAACGACTTTCAACACAATATAAATTTTATTTCTTCAAATAAAAACATTTGGTAGCTGCACTAAACTTGAATTTTGAAACCAGCGTAGGTTCAATCAAAATTCAGTTAAATGATATCCCAAAAATTAAACAAAGATTAAATTAATAATATTTGCTTTCTCTATTTGTCCACATGACTTAGAGATTATAAAAATAATACAATAGTAATAAAATAATTTTGTAATTCTAAAATTATTGAAAAATAAAGAGATCACATAAATTAAAAATCAATTAAGAATTTTATAACACACCACGTTTATAATTTTAATACAAACACTACAGAATTTCTGGGGGTTACAAGATCAGAAATATGCTTGGGAAATTATACTGAAACACATTGTATCTGGTGTAATGTTAGCGATGCAAGTTTATAAAATATGTATCTACTTATAATACATTCATTTCTGTTTTAGATGAGAATAGGCTATGGAAATTTGGCGACTGTAGCTGTATGACAATAAAATAGCTTACTCTAGTCTAAACTAAAAATGAATGCATTATAACAATTTGTTCCTTAGATCACGTTGATAATCATTGTTTGTGAAATGGAGCAAATTGAGCTATGAATCGAGTTGAACTTATCCGCTCGTCTGCACCTGTTGACCCATTCCTTTCTCATCGTTGATGAGACCATATTGTTGCCGATAAGAATAAAAAATGAGATTGTCACCCATTTGTTTTGGTTTTATTTGGCTGCTGTTACAACCATATACAGCATACCATCTACCAGGCATATAGTGAAGATGTATGCACTACCTATTTAAAATTATTGGAATTACTTTAAATATACTAAAATTTGCATTATTTCATACTACAATTTTCTTTTGTAGGATCTTAATATGCTCTAATATCATTAAAACACCAAAAAACACGAAGCACAGCTGATGTAAACAAACAATGTTGGCCAGTTGTGACGTCACGCAATGTGGTGGGGATGATGAAATACTGCTAACATTGCAGCATAGGGCCTGAGCAATCCTCTATGTCTACCATCATTGGGTTCTTGCAACTTTCAGCCACAAAATTCTAAATTCCATAGTTTTTCACAAAAAAAGGAGTCTTTTGCGTTTTTTCGATACAACTTACCGTTTTTGAGTAAAATCAGTTTACAATTTGTCTTACAGACAATTAAGAGGCTAAAAACAAAAAAAAAACTTTGTTTGACCGTTTAAGACGCCCGTGATTAAACATTTCGACAACTGATCTTTGAATTTGTTCAGGTGTTTAAAAGTTATCAGCTGTACCAACTTTTGTAATTTTATCTATTCTGCAATAGTTGGAAAACCCTATTAAGAAACGCATCTCTTTCAGGGGGTGTAACTCGCTTACGTGTAACAGTTTTTGATACATGTTCATAGGAAACTTTTGTCGTAAAATTGAATTTTCTATCACGTGTTTAAATTTGTAACAATAAAAACGGAACATCCTGTATATTTCAAATCCATATCTCCTAAACAACGAAGATATACATTTTCTTAGATTATGTAATGAAAACAGTGCTATAAAAATTATACTAAAAAGAGGGAAATTTAGTCTTATAATGTTGGCGACCTAACTAACCGTTTTCCCATCGAACTGTCAGTGTCAATCGGTCTAACGTAAATGAAATTATTCAAATACGAAATTTTTGCTGTGTTTGGTTTAATTAATCATCGCAAAAAATATTCCGAATGAACATGATTATAGTGGTGCTTACGCATACCTTTAGATCATAGGACAAAGTAAAATAAAAGGTACTTCCTGTTACTTTTGAGACTTTTGTGGTTAGCTAGGTTTCGCCGTCAACTTACTGAACAATATTGGCGTGTGATCTCACAGGGAGTAAACTGTTCATCGTATTTGCCGTCAAGGTCGGTACTTTTAACGCCGTACATTACAAAACGTCATCGACACCTTCGAAATTCATTTTTACGAATAAAATAATGATGTTTCAAATTAATTTATTTCATAGCCACCTAGCCACCACGCAATGTCGACAACTGCCGCAAAATTCCCTACATTCCAAAATTTTTATTTTTTTTCTTTAAAAAAGTGCAAAGTAGAAAAAATACTGTATGATATCTCGTTTATAAGGCATTTTGTCGCACTTACTGCTTTATGACACTCCTCGCTGCGCTCGTCGTGTTCTAAACACGTGCGTGCGACAAAATGCTTCTTATAAAACTCGTATCATAATATACTATTTTCTACTTTGCGTTCGTACTAAGACCCAGTACGAAACTGTTTTGGGTTTCGTACTGAACAAAAACAGTGCTTTAATAATTATACTAAAAAGAGGGAAATTTAGTCTTGTAATGTTGGCGACCTAACCATTTTTCTAACGAACTGTCAGTGTCAATCGGCCTAAGGCAAATCAAATTATTCAAATACGAAATTTTTGCTGTGTTTGGTTTAATTAATCATAGCAAAAAATATTTAGAATGAACATTATGATTAATTAATTAATGCTTACGCATGCATACCTTTAGGTCATGGGACAAAGTAAAATAATTACTGTTACTTTTGAGACTTTTGTGGTTAGGTAGGCTTTGCCGTCAACTTACTGAACAATATTGGCGTGATTTCACTGGGAGTAAATTTTTTATCGTATTTGCCGCTAAGGTCCGTATTTCTAGAGGCGTACATTGCAAAACGTCTTCGACACCTTCGAAATTCATTTTTACGAATAAAATAATGACGTTTCAAATTAATTTATTTTATGAGGCATTTTGTCCCACTTACTGCTTGATGGCACTCCTCGCTGCGCTCGTCGTGTCCTAAACCCGTGCGTGCGACCATAAAACTCGTATCATAATATACTATTAAAAAATTCCATCTGTCAAAAAACTTTGAGTTTTTTTTGACTTTTGACAATTTTTGATGTCTATTTAATGAAACTGATTATTTTGTATATGTTTTTTAAAATTATTTAGTAAAGGTACACAAATTTTGCCAATAAAAGCCACAAATAACATTAAACAGAGTTACAATTTAGTATACAAGAGGAAACAAGGATCCTCTGCTAATAGCCTGTAGCAAAAAAACTTGTAAAATTATTTTTCGAACAAAAATAAATAGTGTCAAAGTGCAAAATTTAAACTCACATAACTTCGAAATTTTTATAGATAATTTTTTTTAATCTTTTCTCCAAACGAAGACGTTTTGCAGAAATACGGGCCTTGACGGCAAATACAATGAAAAATTTACTCTCTGTGAAATCACGTCAATATTGTTTGTTCAGTAAGTTGACGGCAAAACCTTTGTCCTATGTCCTAAAGGAATGCGTAAGCACCACCATAATCATAATGTTCATTCTAAATATTTTTTGCGATGATTAATTAAACTAAACACAGCAAAAATTTCGTATTTTATATTTTGATTTGCGTTAGGCTGATTGACAATGACAGTTCGTTAAAAAAATGGTTAGGTCGCCAACATTATAAGACTAAATTTCCTTCTTTTTAGTATAATTTTTATAGCACTGTTTTTGTTCAGTACGAAACCCAAAACAGTTTCATACTGGGCCTTAGTATGTACGAACGCAAAGTAGAAAAATAATTTTTCCATGTTCCTGGTATCTTATCTTACTTGGTGCGAGTTCAAACACACCTGTATAGTATATATTTTTAATAAAACAATTCTAATAATTTTGTAACACATTCCATGTAATTGATGTGAGTTTCACCAGTCTGTTTAGTTATTTGAGGCCTCTCTCTTGGACCCTTTATTCTGCAGGTTGTCCGAGTAAGTCATCGAGCCGGTGCATATCACCATAGTTACTCCACGCTCCGTCTGGTTCTCCCCATCTCAATTCATCTTTTGTCTTTGTCATTTAAAGTGTGTTGAACAAAGCGAGAGAGATCAATATTCGTTTGGTGGGCGATCGTTTCGTTTCTGTTCGGGAACATGAATGCCAGTGGCAGAGCAGTGAGTGTGGTGTTGTGTGTAACACGTTTGCATGTGTGTGTGTGTGAGAGAGTTTTTTTGGTGTACTATTAGTTGGATTTCCAGTGAATCCAAATGAAATTAAACGTTGTAAATGAGAGAACATGCAACGTTGCTACAGTTTAACGGGGAAACTACCTGTTAAGGGCCAAACGTGTAGTAATAATAATAATGACCCTACCTGGAGTACAGGTATGTGGTGAATTGTGTCGGACCTGCTCCAAGTTGTTTTGGTTATTGTTGTGTCGTGGTGAGTGAAGTGATGTTGGCGCCGTCGCAGACCAAGCCTGAAAAGAATGGAAATACGATCACCACCACCAAGACGAGGACTGTCGCCATAGTGGCGCCTCAGAGGAGTAATAGTTTGGATTATCTTAATTTTGAGGAAAAAAGGCGTTTGATTGCATCCTCTTTATCCCTTTCGGATTTTCTTAATGCAGGAAATAATACCACTAAAGAGGTCAAGGAGGTTGTTACTGGTGAGCATAGAGTGACTTCATTTTCTAATAACAACGTATGACTATGACACAAAGCACGTGCTCAAATGTTTGTTAACGAGTCGCATACCAATCCCTACTTCAGGAATGTAACCTTGAAACTTCAAATAAGGGTATTTTTAATATGAAATGTGTGCGATTGACATTTTGTTTTGAATGTGGAGGTTTATAAGTTGAAGATATTATTATTATTGGTAAACCTATTATTGACCTTTGAATGTTAAAATATCTAGAAATTAGTATACAAAAGCCTTAGAGAACACCCACTGTATGTATACATCGTGTCTCAAAAATTAGTTACAACACAAACATGGTGGTGTTATCGGTTGCATAACTAACCTAGGATTAGAAATATTAAAGGCAGTGCCTCCGCTTCTGGCAAGGGCACTCGATTGTGCTGGTGACAAGTAATTCTTAGATTTTCCCATGATTCGAGATGGTTAATCATAAAAAGTTATTTTTGTTTAATTCTGTGCTTACATATTCGTACCGGACACGGAATTTTAGACAACAAATTTATTACAGTTCAAAAAATGTCTTTGTAAGCCACGCTTTATTGTCAATATAATTAAGGTTTTAGTAGAAATTTATTTTTGGCGTGGATTTTCCGAAACAATAATGCCAGCAATACGTGTTTTTATTTAAGTTCAATAAATTATTTTGATTTGTTAGTTTTTCTCTAGCTGTCAGGATATAAATTACAAAACCGAAAGTGAGGTTAGTTGCATAAGGCCTGTTTTACATTTTTATGTCAGTCGAATGACAAATCGTTCAAAATTTTATGTGCGTAATTGTATCACCCCCCTTTTAGATTATAACGCATGAAGCAAAATTTAAATTAAAATAAATAAATCTGAGAAAGTTTTCTTCAATTGTTTTATTTGATGTGATAATTTTTTTGTTTTATATAGTCGAGATAATATTTAGAATTTAACTAATAGTTGAAATATAAATGAAACTTGCAATTCTAAAATCTGGATTTCTTGGTGTTATGCCGCCACGAATTAAATAACATACACAAGAATTAGTTTTAATTCTTACCTATGATCCTAAGAATGACCATTTCGCTTATTTGTTAAATAAACGTTTGTTATTTGGGTCGATAGTGTGTCTTGAGGACATGACTTTGAAAATGAAATGAATTTATTTGAATCATCTTGCTTGGCATTTGTGGTATAATTGGTAAAAATTGTTAAAAATAACGTCAGGATAATGTTAGAAAAATGTCTCGGCATACATAATACATTACATATGAAAATAGTTCTCAGCAAATAGTTTTCTATTTTTAATACAGAATTCGCTTATTAGTGTTTATTTATAAAAATAAAAATATCTAATTTAAAATAACACCACCGTTTCTAAAACAATGAAATTTTAAATACTACAAGTCACTGAACAATAAACAAAAATAGTTGAAAAGAATTTTTTATATCTTATTATGAATTTATTACAATTTGAGTTAAAATTGAATAAAATTATAGAGGGTGTTCTTTTTTTATTGTTACAAATTTAACCAGGTGACAGAATATTCAATTTTAAGATAAAAGTTTCCTATAAACATTTATCGAAAAATTTTATATAAGGGAGCCACATCCCCTGAAAGGGGTGCATCTTTTAATAGATTTTTTCCAATATTTCAGAAACCATCGTGGATAAAATTACAAAATTTGGTACAACTGATAACCCAAATATACACCCAAATGAATTCAAAGATAAAATGTCGAAATTTTTACTCAGGGGCGTTCTAAACTGGGGGGGTTAAGGGTAAAAAGTACCCAAACTGTTTTGGCGGTTGGTTTTTGCCACTTTCAGCCACAAAATTCTAAATTTCATAGTTTTTTTTTTTTGAGTAAAATCAGTTTACAATTTGTCTTACAGACCATAAAGAGGATAAAAATTAAAAATTAAATTTGTATCACCGTTTATCACCTTTAAATTAGTTCAGGTGTTTAAAAGTAATCAGCTGTACCAACTCTTGTAATTTTATCTATTCTGCAATAGTGGGAAAACCCCATTAAAAACGCATCTCTTTCAGGGGATGTGTTTTTGATGCAAGTTCATAGGAAACTTTTGTCTTAAAATTGAATATCACCTGTTTAAGTTTGTAACAATAAAAACTGAATACCCTGTATAATGTGGCATAATTATGTTTTTGGTAAATAAATAACTGTTACAAACATGTTAAAAGAGAAGAGAGTAATTACTCGTAATAAAAACCTGATCAAGTATTTCAACGAAAGTTTTTTCTAATTTGCATACATATGATGTAATTTCGTAAAAGTAGGTAACTGTTACATGCCCGTCGTAACTAATTTATGATCAAGTGTCTGAATCAATACCATTTTTATTTCGGCACAATTTGATGTACTTGGCATAATATTGAACCAAACATACCAGGTGAATAAAAAGTATGGAACCAAACGTTTTGTGCTTAAACTATTTATTTTTTGGAAAAACTAATTGTGGAATGATAAAGTACTATAAAAGTGTGATGTTTTATTAAGAATAAAAATTTTCGAAATTTTCTTTTGTTTTGGAGTTCTGCAAGATTTAATATTTTTAAAACGGCAACCCTCTATAAAAATATTTTTCTCATGAAGTTTATGATCTAAGGATTACAACTATCTACTTTATATTTAATTTTTTCAAAAACAAAATTTTTACATAAATTGCAATTTTGACAAAAAAAAATACATAACTTAAAGACAATACAAAATTTGTTTTTAAAATACGATCACATTTTTTATATTACTACTTTAATTTACATTAATTATTATTTCTGGAGCCAAATGATTTAAAAAAAACGCTTGGTTCTTTATATTCACCCTGTATACAATAATAAATTCATAATAATTAAAACAGATTTTTATTTATATTCTACAGTCAGTAGATTGTGATGTTAATTATTCATGTATGACCAAATAAATGATCTCAGTTGCATTTAAAAAACCAAACTCGAAACATACGCCGTAATTCAAAGGAGTAGGACAATTTCTTATTTGGTAATAGAAAACGTTCATTGAAGCTCAAAATTGCTTTTGTACTTTACTTATGTTTTACTTATTGTTCTTTTTTTATATTTTAATATTCTAGAATTAAATACATGTTTAACGTCTCTTATTAATTAAAAATAAAATTACTTCTAAAATTTAATAGAGAATTAATATTACAGTTGCATTTCTGAAAAGGTTGTAATATGATGGTTCTAAAAACCACCCGAGTGATTGTACAATTTTTTGAATAACTATGTATGGGCACTCTTTTTTTCAATTTTTTTTTAGTGACAAGCTCTAATTTGTATTTATTTCAGCTCGTGTTTCTTTTATCAGTAGTACGATAAGGAATGAGGATAACGATGAATATCCTCAGGTATTCGATAATTTCGCTTTCCAAAAGCAAAATAATTAATTTCACAATCTAAATTTTTACATTAAAACAGCATAAATTTTTAGAAGAAAAGCAATAATTCGTGCATTTCTTATACAGTAAGCGGCAAATTTATTTACTTATTAGAATTAAAAATATTTTGTTTTGAGAAAAATGCTTGAACAGGTCAATTTTCTTTTTAAAAAATACAAAATTCTCAACTTATGTATGTTTGTTTTTTGTTTATTTTACTTTTTGCCTTTTGGATGATTTTTTTTTGAAAAGTTTATGTACTATTTTAATATTTTGATGTTATCATTTTGACAATTAAACGATCTATCGAATTGGCTAAAAAAATTGGGGGTTTTTATTTTTTAAAAATGCCGATGACGTCATTACTCAAAAACCAAAAGGTGTAAAATTTTAAATTAAGTTGAAAATTGTGTATTTTTTAAAAACAAAATTGACCTGTTTGAGCATTTTTGCCAAAACAAAATATTTTTAGTTTTAATAAATTTATTTCATAATGCTGCTCACTGTAGAGGTGCGCCAGAACTCACGCCTCAGAGAAAAATGTCATGTAAGGTAAGATACTAGGAACATGGAAAACAAATTCTATCTATAAAAAGTTATAAGAGTTTAAATTTTGATTTTGACTCTATTTGTTTCTGTTGGAAAAATAATTTTCCAAGCTTTTTTGTTACAGGCTATTAGAAGAGGAAACAAAGAAACTGTATCTTAAATTCTAACTCTGTTTAATGTTATTTGTGGCTTTTATTGGTAAAATTTTTATACCTTTGCTAAATAATTATAAGAAAATCATATACAAGATCATCAGTATCATTAAAAAAAATTTTGACAGATCGAATTTTTTAAAGATTTTTTTATGTTCCTGGTATCTTATTTGAAATTTTTCTCTGGGGCGCGAGTTCTGACACACCCAGTATATGTATTACTATAAATCCTGTCAACATATTTGAATTGAGAGATTTTAATTATATTGGGGTTAAAATAAAATATGTATAAATTCTATGTATCACGAACATAATTAGTGATTATGACTAAACATTCTCTCAACTATAAGCTTTGATTATCCGTTTAGTAAACAAATAACTATTATGGTCAAGATATCGTTGTTTGACGTTTAATTATAGCATGGAGGGCTATTGTGAGGTCAGGGGGTTATAAAAAAACATATTTGAAAGTAAATTCCAGCAAAAACTTCAAATAAATAGATAGCAAAACAATGAAAATTGAAATAAAAAAATCGTTTAAGTATTTAAATGTCATTCAAGTTGTGTGGATATAAATAGACGGTTACCGTTTGTGTCAATCATGTACTTCCTACTTACGCTTAATAATCGGATTCTATTATCTAGTGCACATTTTTAGACGAATCAAATACAATCGTACTGAATAGAAAGTTGGTGGGAAAACTGAAAGGGAATTATACAAGATGTTGAGAAATTATATTAATTCAATTTAGAAATAGTGGATGTGATACAAAGGTATACAGATTTGTTAGAAAGTATCTAAATTAATTGTCAAAAATTCTCCTAATATGTTTTGTAGAATAAAAAATCAAGTTAGTTTTTTATCTCTAAGACAAATGAGAGTAGAAATTTGAGAACTATCACAGAAGTTATAAATCTGGTAAACTCTTTTTAAAATTTCACTTTATCTTACTACTACTTTTTAACCACTCTATATAACTACATATCTACCTCAATGGTAATATTGATTTTTGAGGAAAACTCCGAGTATTTCAAAGCTTTTTAAAAAAAAATTATAATAATGTACTCGTAGGTAATTTATAATAATCTTTGAATGAAACATTTAAATACACCAAGAAGCTACATGAAGACAAAACAATTATCTTCTCGCTGAAAGGTTTCATTTTTATAGCATTGATCAACCAATGAATTTTTTTCTAATTTTGGGCATTAAAATACGTCTAAATTTAAAGTAAAGTGGCACATCTGCAATTTGTGTTTTTTTTTGCTGTGTATTTTGACGAAAACACTTATTACGAACATTTCGATAAAATATCATATTATCGTAATATTGTAGACAGACACTCACTAGACCTGTACGAATATTCCAATTTCTACTATATGTATGTATTCGGAAAATATGTCGTTTCATCCTTTGGTCAAGGAGTAATTTATATAGGATTACCAAGGTTACAAATCTATAAAATGTCAAAAAGGCAGTTTAACAGAAACATAGAAATTTTGTTATTTAAACGAAATGTCATACACCCTCGCACTTGAGTTCTCGGGTTAATGACACGTTTCTCATGTGGTTTGTAATATACTATAATTGTATTAACTTTTTAATCTTAAATAGGTTTAGTTTTTTACAAAATAAGAAGTGAAACTAAATAGCATTTTTTACGACAGTATTTTTCTGATTTGGTACAAGTATGTTTAGTGATTCTCTTGTTGAGTGGCTCGAAAAATAAAATAATTACTGAACATGCTCGTATGGGCACGAAATTTAATTTTTTACAACATTTTGGATATTAGTAGTAGGTTTAATACTTACTCACTAACTTGATTAACATTTGACAAGGTGATTAAATGAATTGTAATGTAGAGTTGTACTTTTAATTACTCTAGAGTGCAAATGCCATCATTTGTGGGTCAATTAGTCACAATTGTGCGTAGGTGGAATAATAACTAGGCGGTCTTGACAATTTTTTGTAGTATCTTAAAACTACCACGTGACTGTAAGTGTCTGTGATTTTTCTCCTCAAGTTTGTATCAAAATTAATTTGACAAACTTTTATAGGCAATTATCATTTATTTGTGACGAACGCCTACTAACTTAGCCGTCATCTTAATATAACAAATTAAAAGGATTACTAATAATTCTGTGTTGCCAGTAGATTTTTTAGTCATAAACACTAAAATTCTCCTAGTCGAATTGATTGAGAGATATTATTTTGTTTGAAAATATCACAATATTTGTTGTATTTTTTTGATAAAATGCTAACTTTGTTTGAAAACAAAATTGTCTATAATGATACGATTTTATTTATTTTGAAGGCTTTAATTTTATTTGTGGTACTTTAAATAACATCCCATTATATGTTATAACATGTGTCTAATTAAAGAATGATGTGGTCAAGAGTGCTGTGAAATTTTCATGGTATGTCTTGCTTAAATTGTTATGTTTAATAATATATCAAATTATTTAAGATGTATCTACTTATTGACATTATTATTTATTCATAAATTTTTTAGAGCACTCTTTATCACGACACACCTCATTTGAATGGCACTAGCTTTTATTTGATTTAACATTTAATAGGTTACTCTGTTCTTTTTATACAGGGTGATTCAGCTTAAATGACCCATTAGACTCCTCTTGACAGACAACCTATAATACACAAAGTAATTATTCCTTGATTCATATTCGAATTTTGAAAGTTTCATGAATCGAAAAATATCGTTCTTTGATTCTCGATATTTTGAAAATTTAATTTTGTATAAAGGAATAAGTGCATAATGTATTATGTGTTGTCTGCCAAGAGGGGTCAGGTGGGTCATTTAAGCTGAATCACCCTGTATTTAAATTGTATTTAAATCAAAAAAATTATTAGTTATTCATATTTTGAGTATAAATATGTACAGTGACGGACAGTGAATTTTGTCCGCCCAATTTCCATGATAGACTTATAAAAGTGTAAATTAGTCTTTAGGTTTATCTAACCTTGTTTTAGAATTTTGATTAACGTTTGTCATGTTGACAGAATGCTCGATGGTTCTTTGTTATTTTTTACCTGTGCTTTGTCTTACATTGCTTAAGGAATTCACGGGAAAACGTCGGACGAAATTTACTGTCCGTTACTGTACATTACATACATACATACTGTACATACGTACTTTTTGTATGCTTCTATGCGCAAATTCAGTAATAATTTATATAAACTAGGACACGTTTTAATTATCTGTGATTTTAACGCTTGAAGCAGTTTTTTTCTTATTTTGTTTTTAACTAATAAACGTTTTAACCTTAAACTTTACATAATGAAACAGTTTAGCATTTGATACATTTTGGACGTAAAACATTAATTTTTCGAAATTATCCGTAAAGTAAAATTAGTCCGTAATGAACTACTTTTTAGAACTCATATGTCATTATTCAAAATCGACCAAGTAGTTCGTGAAGTGTGCACGCGTGTATTGTTAGTTGCATAAAATTTCAAATTTTTATCTTTTCTAACTATTCTATCTTTTTAACTTTTCTAACTAACTCAAATAATTGTGATTTCAGAAAAAATGTAATCTTCACCTCAGCATTCAAAGTTTTTTTTTTAACTTTTTGGTTATCGTTTCCGTGAATTAACTTTATATTCGTGATAAAACATTTAACATTGATGCCTTGTTTATATGGGGCGTTTCAGAACTCGCACCTCAAAGTAAAATGCCTGTAAGATAAGATGCCAGGTACATGGAAAAAATGGTAAAACAGTTCTTTCTATAAAAATTTCGGAATTATAGAGGTTTAAGTTTTGCACTTTGTGGCTTTTATACATGTAGTTTTTGTACCTTTACTATTTTACTTTGATCCTGTTTATTTGGGTGGGAAAAATAATTTTCTACGTTTTTTTCTCATGATCCTGATGTCTTACTTGGCATTTTTCTCTGGGGTGCGGGTTCTAAAACACCTTCTATAATATTTTCGACTTGAACGAGTTTAAATTACTTACATGCCATTTGATTTTCAGCGAAAAAACAAAATGGTTCTGTATTTCGAACAAACAGTTTGGGTAGTGGAACTAGGACTCCGTCCTTAGAACGAAAAAGTAAATTCTCGATAGGAAAATTACTTAGACCATGGAAATGGAAAAGAAAAAAGAAGTCGGATAAATTGGAAGCAGTGTCGAGAAGTAAGTTGATAGTAATTATTTATACATTTATTAATTCTCATTTAAATTATCAGCGTTAGAAAGAAAAATTTCAGTCCGTGCTAATAGAGACGAATTAGTACAGAAAGGTATCCTTCCGCCAGAAAGTCCTTTAACTCCGCCTATATCCGAGCCAGGTAATTATTTAGTTGGCTTATAATGAATTGCCATCTAGTGGCAATGCATCGTTATTGTTAATAGAAGATATCTTTGGTGGGTTTAGGTGAAACCGTATCATCACCACTTCCTCCCAGCGGGTGTCAGCAATTGATAGAAAAACAAACACCACAGGGACCACCACCCCTATATCCAACGCTTCCACAGATGCAGCATATGCCCATTAATCCGGCATTGCTACAGCAACAACTTCTTCGAAATCCACACTTTAACCAAGCCAATGCCAACAATAATCAAGCCGGTATGTGTTTACAGAATTTTCCTAAAAGATACAGCTGTTCAGTTTTCTTTTCATGCTACACGCTTTATTATGTCACTGTAACAGAGATGGCATTGGAATCTCAAATACAAAATCTTTGCTTACGATTACTTTTAGGCTTATTAACACTCACGAGTATGAATTTCGAAATAAAAATAACAACATACAATTGTTTCTAATTTCGTTTTTTGCGTTTTTTGCAATGTGTGAAATAACACTAAATTAAGAAACAAAAGTGTTTCTAAACTTTATTGTTGATACTGCAGACGAAGATTTTATTTTACAGTGGAACCTATTATCGAATTAACTTTTTTTTTCAGTTATAGTCTATAAAGTGTAAGAAGATGAATGTTGCGCCTATTTTAAATTATTAACAACTAGCAAACCAGTCGTATCTGGGCAAAAATTACACTGAACAATTTTTTTCGTGTTTCCGAGTTTTTTTGCATTTTTTAATGTAGATTTTAATTTCAATGATTCTAAAATAAACTTTTATTTGTCGATTTTTCTTAGTTTTTGAAACTTTTACAGAAACACACTATGTATGTTTTAAGACTTAATATACAAAAACTAAGATTCTGAGAAAAACAACATTTTCACAACTCTAAAGAAGAAACTTTAAACTTTCGGTCTACGATATTTTTGTCAAATGTGATTCTTTCATATCTTGTGAACTTTTTGGCTACTGAAACAACAGTTATTTTTGCTATGTTAATGTTAAATATCTTTTCATTTCAGAATAGTATCTGTTGCATTTTTGTACCATACGGACAATTTACAACCACAAAATTCAGTCGATTGTACAAAAACAGGTCGTTTTCTCTGAAGTCTCATTTGTGACTTCAATTAAAAAAAGAGTGTTTTATTAAAAAAAAACATAAGTTTGTGTGGCAACGTATTTTTGAATGTAATACAAGGCGTTAATATCTGTGAATTTTTGAAATAATTTTTACTTTACCAACTAACTGGGTACCCTGTATTTTACGGTATTAGAAATGATTTTTTCTATTTCGGTGTTAGAATAAGTCCATTTTGATTCTCTAATAGACATATTAAAGAACACGACGTCATCATGTGCGATGTCTTAATAGTTACAAGGCGACTATCTACTGTTACTGATGTTTATGTTTTTTTTAAATCATTTTGTAAAGGTACAAAAATTTTGCCTATAAAAGACACAAATAACGTTAAACATAGTTTATGATACGGTCTTCTTGTTTCCTCTTCTAATAACCTGTAGCAAAAAAACTTAGAAAATTATTTTCCAACAGCAATATTTAGAACTATTGTAAAAAGGTTTTTTTTTCCAATTGACATTTATAAGTAAAAAACTCATTCCAAGACCTTTCAACTCTTTAATTGTCTGGTAGTATTAGCATTTACCAGCAGATATAGAAAAACTTCGTTTAGTTCTCAGAGCTTAACTTTGAAAATTTTTTTGGAAAAAAATTGTATTATAATTCTGCTTAGATAATTTTTATTCATAAAAATTTAAGGTTGCTCCTCACAAAATTAGTTTTCCTGGAAAATTGTATTACTTAATTTTTAACTTTTTGATAAGTCATCGACCTGACAAATCCGATCAATTTTTTCAGTCATGAGGTTATCAGTAGTTAATCTGTCTAAAATGAATTTCGATTGAAGAGTCGGAGCTCTAGATTTTGCAACAACTTTAAAGTTATTGTAAGTCGTCGACTTCTTCACTTCGACTCGCATAACCCGTATTTACTTCCGGTTTCTTTATTTAAAATTCTGGCCGTTTGTAATCGAATAGTAACGGAGTGGCTCGATAAGGAATCATAGTTCTCTATTTGGCTTCCAAGTTTTCTGTCTTCCCCTATTCAAATTCAAACTCGCTCTAAACGTTTGTGTGTCTTGTTGCACCTTGGAAAACCATTTCCACATTACGCAAGTTCGGGTATGAGGAAAGGACACGGCGACGTAGACGCCAGGCGCCGAACATTGCTGTCTCACTCATTCGTCGGTTATACTACTAGTGGTGGCGCTCCAAGTTCCCTCTGCTGTCGATTTTTTTCCTATCTATTTTAGTGGTTCGGGGATGTTTGTGTTACTAGCGGACTGTGTTGTGTATGTGGCGACACTTATGTTTGTTATTTGGCCCTCAAAGTTTTAAGTCCTGCAAGTGTGGTGTGGTTGCGGCAAGGCCGCCCGGCTATCGATGATGGGCTACATCATGGGCTGTACTTGCTTTAAAGGTAAAAAAAAACAAATAGAACAGGGTCGGTTTATGAAATACTTGATTCTTCTACAAATTAAATTCAATGAATTACGACTTTTCATAGTATTTTTTTTTTACTTTTTTGATTTTGTGTATTATACAGGTATCGCCGACGTGATCTTGGACTTTTTTGTGATGCTTACTTGCTTTAAAGGTACGAGATTTAATATTGAAAACGTAACCTTGCGTGCACTATTTATACTAACCCAGTTATTGGTTCCTCCCTTGTTTACAATATCTAAATGCAAATTGTAAGTTAACCTGGCGCATCCACCATTTGTGTCTTTCTTGTTATGCATTTTGTGAAAAACGCTTTATTACGAACCGTGATCATAATCACCTACCGTTGGATGTCATTTCATTGTAATATTTAAGTGTTATTAAATGTTCTTTTTTACTAACTTAGCTGTTGATGCATTTTCTCAAAGACATAGTCGACAATGCCAACTACAGTGATCTTTAAATTTTGTAAAATTATTTTCTCATTATTCTAGTCGCCTCAGAAAAATTTTAATGTTCCACAGGAATTGATCAATAATGAAAATTATCGTATTTTAGTTTTTTACATATTCAAAAAAATCACAAATAAATTAAGAATCAAATAATACTAATGTTGTAGGTATCTGTGAAATTACTTAAAAAAAATTTTTTGTCACTCTTCTGTTGTCATTTTTGTGGCAGTTTATCCAACCTTGTAACTGTTATAAATTTTCAAAAGCTTTAAAGCGAACTTTATTTATACAGGGTGTCCCATTGAGTTGGTAAAGTCCAATATTGACCTTTAAATTATAAAATTTTAAAAGATGTATATAGAAAATTGATAGATATGAATTTAGTGCATCACCTAAAATTATTTTCAACCATACAGCATGTCCCAAAACAATACAAACTTGTGCTTTTTTAAATATGTTTCTTGGCATTTTTGAATGTAGCCTTTTAAGACAATGTTTTTATGTTTTTTTATCTATAAAAATTTCGAAGTTATAAGAGTTTAAATTTTGCACTTTGACTGTATTTATTTCTGTTGAAAAAATTATTTTCCAAGTTTTTTTGCTACAGGCGATTAGAAGAGGAAACAAGGAAGCTGTATCTTAAATTGTAACTCTGTTCAATGTTATTTGTGGCTTTTATTGGCAAAATTTTTGTACCTTTATTAAATAATTGTAAAAAACATGTACAAGATCATCAGTATCATTAAATAGACATAAAAAAATGTCAAATGTCAAAGAATATATGTCAAAATTTTTTGACAGATAGAATTTTTTAAACATTTTTTTCATGTTCCTGGTATCTTATCTTACTTGAAATTTTTCTCTGGGGCGCGAGTTCTGACGCACCCTGTATTGTAACTAATTTTTGGGACACGCTGTATAGCTGAAAATAATTTACGACGATGGACTAGATTAGTATCTATCAATGTCCTATATATTTTTTTAAATTTTACCATTGAAGGACTTTACCAACTTGCTGGGACACCCTTATTCTACTAGACTGCTACTCGTTTTCATATTAATATGCATCGAAGTAGTCGTTGAAAGGGATCATTTTAAGCTGGCAACCATGCAAAAATTCAAACAATCCTAACCTCAATCTTTCCTACAAATTATTTTTTCAAATAAATGTGTATCCCAGGTAGAAACAAATAATTAAAATTAACTGCTTAATTAACAAAGGGTAGACTTTGTTCTGATTGACATTAATGACACTTTTTGTGTGAATCGGCCTTTAAATAAAAAATTACATTTAAACTTCTACAATCTACTTGATGCACATTAATATAAAAAAGAATATAGTTATTATACAGTGCGATCAAAAAGTTTATCTATCAAGCAAGCCTAGAAATTGAAAACGTGTGTCTGCGGAAGATAAAATGTCACAATGGTAAATAGAAAATGTCAAAATATTTTTTTTTGTAAAATGTAACAACAGATCGTGGTTAACGATTTGTATGAATAAACTCCAACTACATCTCATTTTAGGGTTTTTTAAGACGTTTCATATAGTAATTCAATTTGTTTAGATCAATATTTTAGTTTTTATAAAATAATTTTTTGACAGGGGTGTATTATCAGTTCATAACTTTTTAGTTACTTGATATATTGACATACCGTTTTTAACATCCGGTAGATCTACTTAAATTGCAAAAGAAAAACTTAGAACTAGCTTGTAGTTTTAGATAATCATCGACTTTTAGCTCAAGCAAACAGACACTTTACAGAGAGTACGAACACGCAAAAAGTTTAATAATTCATTTTTTAATAACCTGTATTTGTTTTTACGTATTAATAGCATTCTTAACAAGTTTTTCAACAATATGCGGTTTGTATAGTAAATTTGGAATATTTCTCGAGAGTAGGTACCATTATTTTTTTTACGTAGAAACTAATAATGTGAAAACATATAGGGTGCTTTATTAATTAATTATTTATTAAAAATATAATTTTGATTCACCACTCTGTATACAATACCCTGTAAATAAAAAAAAATATTTTTAATGGGCGCACTTTAAGTACATGTACCGGATGTTAGAGAAAAGTAAAAATATTTTATCCACAATCACTCTATAAAGAGACTATTCCACACTTTAGATGCGTATCAAGTACCAGTTTTGTCCTTTCCAGCATTTAGGTAATTTTGCACTTCAATTACTAAATGTGTAAAAATTAGAATTGAACTGGTATATTTTATTAATACAGGGTGTTTCACATAACTTTACGAGGCTTGCGCCTAATGTACGCACCTA